GGCTATGTTGCTGGATTCCCACGTAGTCAACCATGGTTCGCGTCCCGGACCCGGTGGCTTAAAACTCACACCGGGCGCGTGTGCGTGCGTGCCCAAGATCCCGAGAGGAGAATAGAAGAGAAAGGATTGCGGCGTGGCCATCCCCCTGGGGGATGATTTCTCGCTTTCTGTCTCTCTCTGTCTGTCTGGTGAGCGCACACGCCCTATAGCAAAAATCTCTCCCCCCCGCAAAAAAAATAAATAAATAAAAAGAAGAAGACAAATATTTCAAGCAAGGCAAAATCGCATCAATAAAGGCAGGAAGTGGGTAAGAGAGACATATGTGCCAACTGCTGAAATCTGGGTTTGAGAGGAGAAACAGATTATGAAAGAACTGACTCTGTAAAATGTTTTAATATTACATGTGACCTTAAACCAATTACTAACTACACTTTATTAAGCTTCTACTTCCTCACCTGTGAAATGAAATTCATAATACCCCAGTCACAGGGTGGTTTTGACAGAAAAATCAGTAATGCTTGAAACAGCAATGGACATGTTTCTTATCACATAAGTGGTAAGAAATGCAAGGAATAATTTCTTTAATATAAAATATGTAAATGTAAAATGCAACTAGACATAAAGCATAAAAACGGAAGGTTTAATCTATCAAGCCTAAACAGCTTATAAGGTTTTAGAATGACCAAGTAAAGACAGTCATCTGGTAGCAAGGCACAAAAGGGGAGCCCTGGGTCAGAAAGGCTAGCCAGAAAGTAATTCCAGCCACGAAGGCATAAAGTAATGACACCATAACCTAGGACAGTAGTAGTGCATTGGTGAGACAGGTGTGAGTCTTTCCCAGAAAGAATGAATAGAAGCTGGTAAAAATAACAGAGGGATAAAGAACAAGGACAGGGGAGATTTAAATATAAATGAGGTGGTTAAGGGATTTTGAAATCATACTGACAGGGGTTGTCCTTGGACACCAAACTTCATCTTCTATGAATCTCTTATCTGTAAAATAAGATAATTCTGATTTTCACTGGTGTTCCGCATATAGAAACCACTGGATAAATGGTGACTGCATTTAATTACACAGCTTCCTCATCTTTCCATGGCCCTCTGCTTGAACAGTTTCCTTCTTTTTACCAACTCTCATTCCTCCTTCAAGAGTCAGCTTTACATCACCTCCTTGGTAAGTTTTCCCCTAAGCAGCCTTCGGCCTAACTACTTCTTTAATAGTGAGTACTACCAAGCATGGTAGCTGTCAGTTTATCTCTTCTCTCTTGCCCCTCCCTACAATGAAAAGGGAATTCCTTGACAGCAGAACTTGAGTCATATTTACCTTCTTGTCCCCAGTGTTAGCATAATTAGTACATAGCAGGTTTCGGAATTTTTGTTAAACGATAGGGAAAATATATAAATATAGCTACTTAAACATCTTTTCCATTTAAACTCATTTCCAAGTCATACCATCATACTTAAAATTCAGCAAGTTATAGGACCAGAAGATGGGATGGTGGTTAAGGTGCTGGACTCCCACATGGCTGACCACAGCTCAAGTCCCAGACCTAATGGCTTGAAAATCATGTCTAGCTTGTGTGCATGCGTGTCCAAAATCCAGGGAGGAGAATAGAGAAGGAATTGAGACATGGTCATCTCCCCTGGGAGGTGCTTTTTCACTTTCCCTCTCACTGCTTCTCTCTGTTTCTCTCCAGCAAGTGTACATGCCCTATGGCAAAAACCTTAATTAAGGGGAAAAAAGTTCAGGCCAACAGGTGGTGTGGTGGTTAAGGTGTTGGACTCCCACATGGCTGACCACAGTTTGAGTCCTGGACGTGGCAGCTTGTTACTCACACTGGCACACATGTGCATGCCCAAAATCCCAGGAGGAGAATGAAGAAGGGATTGCAGCATGGTCATCCCTTTTGGTGGGTGAGTTCTCACTTTCCCTCTCACTGTCTCTGTCTCTCCAGTAAACATACTCCCAATGGCAAAATCCTTAAAAAAGAAAAGAAAAAAAGTAATTCATCAAGTTTCAGTATTTTAGAAATATTCCCCCTCTCCTACATACAGTATACTATCATCACCATCTATCCAATTTGAAGGCAATGTTTTAAAAACCTACAAATCCCAACCTATGATGCAATCTTCCAGAAGTAAGCTTAAGGGAAAACACTCTTATCTTGACTGCTCTGTTGTCTACATTTGATTCAGAGTGTAAGACAGAGTAGGAGCAACAAGATCTGTTAATCAGTCATTCAGCAAACAACTCAGTATGGCAAAAATACAATGCACAATGAATAGTGCCTTTCACATTACATATCCAAAGCTAACCTACCACCTGAAGCTGTAATAATTTCTGCTGACAACTCCCCACCTAGAAGTTACTTAACATGTCAATTTTTAGAAAAAGTAACAATCTATGTTGGTTGGTCTCCTTTTGTAAGGTTGCTGAGAAAGTCATGATGTGTTTGTCCGTGTTTTTCTATGCATAAGTGCACCGTGACTTTCCTGACAACCCAATAAATTCATGAATGCTAATCTCAGAAGTGGGTCCTGAGTACTGCCTAGTGCCCTTACATTTCCCTAGTCTACTTATTCTCCCCACTTTCCCACATCAGTATTCCCTATCTTCTTCCCTACTTTCTTCTCCCTCAAATTTTCACATCTCCTTCCTCATCCTCTCTCTCAGCTAATGAACTTGCTTTCTATTTCTTGCTATCCTGTAACTGTGGAATACTCTCAACTCTGAACAGCACCACCTTGAGGGGGCAGGGTAGGATTTTGTAAATGTGTCCAATATTCAAATGCTGAAGTGCCCCAGGGCTAAGTCCTTGCATCACCTAGGAAAACTCTCTAATGACTTTAAATATTACTATACATTTACAACTCTCATGTATCTTTTTTTTTAATATTTATTTATTTTTAATTATTTAATTTTATTAATTAATTCATTTCTTTTAATTTGACCAGAGAGAAACAGAGAGAGAGAGAGAGAGAGAGAGAGAGAGAAAGCAAGCCACCTGGTCGAGGACTTGAACCATGGTTGGCCATGTGGGAGTGACCAGCTCCTTAACCACCACACCACCTGCTGGGCCCCAACTCTCATGTATCTTCAGTTCACGTCTCTTCTCCAAACTCCATATATACTACTGCATACCATTTGGAAATTTAATATGTGCAAAACTGCAAATGATATCAAATCTTCCTCCCTACTTGTCTCCTCCCATTTTACCTAGTAATTGTATTTTTTAGTTGCTCAGGCTATAAACCTCTAAGTCACCCTTGACCTAACTGAACTTAAGGAACCTAGGAAACTACACTGGTTCTAAATTTAGGTTTAGAAACAAGTCTAGAGGCCCAGTCTTGGTGTCACAGTCAGCAGCAATCTGAACTACAATGCTGGAAGTCACACAGCTGACAGTAGGGTTTCGATCATTGGCCTGGTAGGCCCGTAATAAACCTAGCAGGCACACGGAAGGTCCTGATGAACTGCAGAACTGAGAGTCTAGAATCTATCTGGTCACTGTGTACCACTTGCATATTAGCACCTTGATCCAAGTCACCTTGACCTTAACCATGCAGAACTGCATTGGACTACTAACAGCTTTCATTACTTGCCTATGCTGCACACGGTCAACACAGCAATTACCCAAACCCTTTTCAAACACCAGTTAGCTCAATTTCACTCCTTACTCAATACCTATCTCATTCAAAGCAAAACCAATCTCACACAAAGTAAAAGCTGAAGTTTTTATAAAGTCCTAGAGGGCTCTATATGATCTGGCCTCATTCCCAACTGTGTATCTACTACTTCCCTTTCTCTTGCCCATTCTCTTCCAGCCAAACTAGCTGGTATGTTTCTATCTCCAGGGCTTTGCCATAATTCTGATGGTTCTTTCCACATGGCACCCTTCTTTACTACCTTCAGGTTTCTATTCAAATAGCATCATTCCCATGGCCACCACCGCAATCTCCTATCTACTTCACCAGCATTCCTCAGTCCCTTTGGTGCTTTTATTTTTTCCTCTCTAGTGTTTCAGACATACACTTTATTTTTTGTATCAATGTCCCCCTCCTACGAAAGTAAACTTCATGATGGGAGTAATTTTTATTGTTCACTGTTTTGTCCAGGGCCTGCCACATAACAGGTTCTCAGAATGTAAATTAATTAAATGAACCCATACTTGAAGAATGTACATTATTCTAAAAACCCATATCCATATAATCCCATTATTTCTCCCCCAAGTTTTAACTAGCATACTGTGCTAGTCAATTTAAAATTCAACCAACTGCCTCTAGGGATATCACAAACTGTTCAATTCAGATCCAAGTACCCAGTCTCAAGGACTCAGATTTATAAAGTGAATTCTGGAAGGTCTTGGGAGTTCAGCTGCAGTGTGATAAGTCTCTTCAGTTCGGATTACTGAAAACACGCGGTACCTTTTCACCCTTCAGAAAAATCTAGAACCAATCCAGTTTCCTAGATCCCTCAAGTTCGGGCATGAATTGAAAAGAATCGAAAGTATAACTAAAGAATGCGAAGGTGTTTGCCAACAGAAAATGGCTTTGTTAGCACAGATTGTTATTAAAAAGAAACTTAAGGAAATCCGCTGAGATTAATGAGAAGAAATATCCACCGTTCGGTTAGAATCGAACTGCCCTGTAAAATAATGAAATAAACTGTTCCACGAAAAATGCAGGTCCTGAACTGAACTCTAGAGTTTGCAACTGGACCCAGGTTTCCTACCTCAGTAAAGGACAAACATAGTCCCCAAGAGACCGCACTGGCCACACCCTCGGACCGGCTCTAGGGCTCCGGGGCGGAGTCTCGCCAACCCCACCTCTGCCAGAAGGTACCACCTTCACCCACCATCGCCGCCTGGGAATCCTCCCCTCGCCACTACTCACCCCTCCTCCTTACCACACCTACCCGGTCCTTCTTCAGCCCTCCTCTCACAAGCCATTTCCTCACTGTGGGAGGGACACACACACATACACACACACACCCCACACACCCTACCCGAAGCGCCGCTTCTCCGGCTTCCCGCACGGGTGGAGACGCGCGGGTCCCGGGCTCCGGGGAGGCGGCGGGGCAGGCTGCCTGCCTGTCACTGTCCTGCAGAGGCGAGGAAGCAGGAGTCCACAGGGCCCCGCAGCCACAGAAAGCACCGGCGCGGAGGTCGAGAGGAGATCGAGCGGAGATCTGCAGCACTTCGCCCTCCAGTATCCAGCGAACCCAGCCGGCAGCGCCGACGAGCCCTGGAAGCCCACCGCAAGTCCAGTCACCGTCGGCGCCCGGAGATGACGTCACGGGACCCCACGTGGCCCGCACTCCGCCCCCCTGGTTTGGCCCAACCGGGCGCGCGGACTGGAGGGGCTCGTGGGCATGCGCAGACTGAGCCACGCGCCTGACGGGCCGGAAAGCTCAAAGCTCGAGTTCCCCGTGTGTACCCTTAAACTGAGCGTCTTGCAGTTGCTGTTTGGGGAAGTTAAAGTAACAGTTCTGTAAAGACAGAGAGTTTTTTCAGTGTTGAGACATTGCGTCTCTAGAGTTTCATCGCCGTATCTCTTGCTTTCTATCATCGCATAATTGTGGTAATAAAACGTTAGTTTATAAAGTGCTTACGCAAAGTGTTTTCGCATGATCTCACGTTCTTTTTCAACTTTGTTAGGACCACAGCAGGCATTAATTGCTATACTTAACAGAAAACTACGTGAGTACTGAACCCTCTCACTCGTCCAAGAGTGGATCTTGTTTCTAGAAAGTGAAAGCAAGTGTAGTAGAAAACTTACTCCCAATGGATGATTGAACTGGAATGATCCAGAAGTCTTACCAGACATTTAATGCTTTTCTCTTAATTACACACATGTCAAAATGCTATCTCTGCTAAGTGAATGCCATGCCAAGACTCAAAATTGGTTCCTGATCATTGGGAAGATAAGAAAAATCCTAGTAATAGCCACGAGATTATTTTAAAAAGAGGAATGTTCTTGGAGGCTAACTTAATACAGTGATTTTTAAGTAGTGAATTTAAGTCCTTTGATGGGTCATTAAATCAAGTTATGGAGGCATGATTAGCATCTTTTTAAGTGAAATAAAAATACTGGCCCAGCCATAGTAATGCAGGCAATAGGGTCCCACTGCAGGATACTGAGGACCCAGATCATGATCACAGTAAATGAATACTGGTGCCCTTTTGAGTCTGAATCCTAACAGTTCTATGGCCTTGTGATTCTGGTTGGAAGGGGTTAGGGGAAAATCCTGGCAAGATGAGATTCTGTCAAGAATATTTCTGCCTGTCTCTCTCAATAAATAAATAAACCTGTTTTTAAAAATTAGAAACTATGGGGCCAGAAGATGATGCAGAGGTTAAGGTGGGTGGATCCCACATGGCTAACTGCATGGTCCAGTACTGGAAGCAGAGCCTTGAAAAACACACGGTGTGTGTGCCCATGCGTGCCCACCCCCCGTGCTTTTTCACTTTCCCTTTCTTTGTCTCTGGCAAGTGCACTTGCCCCATAGCAAAAAGAAAGAGAGGGAGAGGGAGGGAAGGAAGGAGGGCCAGCAGGTGTCACAAATGTAAAGAATAAATACTGTTGGGACCAGCAGTTAGCGTAATGGCTATGTCGCTGGACTCCCACGTAGT